ATAATGACGAAAATACTTCAGCCATTTTTAGGTCAGGTCAAAGGTCAAGCCACCAGAGTTCTTCAAGGGGAAAATTTTGCATATATGTAGGTACCTGTCAACATTTTTCGACAAACCGGCGCATAACTCAGAAGCTAATAAAGCTACAGCGCTGCGTATTCGATAGCATTCGATAGCAATTTTATCTTTAATGCTTTTTGTTGCCATCCCTCAGATGGAACCTTAGATCAATGGTTTAGCCTCCAGAGGACAAAAACTCGAAAAAATAGCCGTTTTACGAAAAATGTTTTTCGGTACCAGCATTTGACGGAAGGAAGGTACGACATTTATTTTGCCAACATCGTGTTCCTCTCGTCGAATCGTGTCACAAACAATATTTGCCATTAAATGTCATTTTGAAAGTTTAACTTCAGGTCTATGTAGGTCATGACCTGACCGGAAAAGGTCATGCTGCATATAAGTCGATCAGTACCGTCGACCTGAACACACATTAACCCGCGCCGGGCCGGGGGTGTTTGAACACCCCCTGCGGTTTTTAGCACACCTGTTTGTACATCTTTTCCGCACATGTGAAAATTTCAGACCCAGATCGCCTTAGGTCAGGTCACCAGGTCACGCCAAGTGATCTCACCTCAGAAAAAAATAAGAATGCTCGTCATAGCTACACCGACTGATCGATTGCCTTGAAACTTTCAGCGATTGATTATAGCAACATTATCTATAAAATGTACATTTCGGAATTTTGCTATCGGTGACCTAAGGTCAGGTCAATTCTGCGGCCTCTCCATTATAAGTCAATGGGAGAAAATTGAAAAGCGTCTGTTTTGCACGAACGCTATTCTAGACACTCAAACATCGAGATGTATGTAAAATTGACACACTGAACCAGAAAATGGCAACTGTGACCCCTCGTTATGTCCCCGAGGTCATCTCAGGTCACGAACAGAATCTAACAGTTTTTCGCTAATAACTTCTGATAGAGGCGTGCTAGAGCGCTGAAAACGCCTTAGATGTGTTCGGCTCGACGTTGCGGATCGACTGATATGCAACATGACCTTTTCCTGTCAGATCATGACCTTAACCTAAGGTCAAATTTTCAAGTTGACCTGTCAAGGTCAAATTATAGTTCATTCGACGCGTCTTGACGAGAGGAACACGATGCTGGCAAAAGTAATGTCATGGCCTTTTTGAGTCAAAGTTATTGCCGAAAAAACGCTTTTCGTAAAAACGGCTATTTTTGGAGTTTTTGCCCTCTGGAGGCTAAACCGTTGCCCTGTGGTAAAATCTAAGAACATTAATCAGAAAGGTCTGTAAAAGGGCTATCGAATGCGATTTTCCGCGGCGCTGTAGCTCTGTCGGTTCCCGAGATAGCCGTCGGCAGTTTCCAAAATGTTGAAACAGTCAATATTTTACCATTGGTGACCTCTGGTGATCTGACCTTTGACCTGACCCAAAAATGACTGAAGTGTTTTCGTCCTTATTTTGGAGTTCTTTCGATTGCCGCTTACCGCGTGTCGCTACGTGGCCCAGGAGCTGAGTTAGAAGGGGGGTGTTCAGTTCAGACCCCCCGGCCCGGCGCGGAATCTCGGAGCACCGACCCGGCGCGGGTGAAGTGTTTTCAGCACCCTAGCTGGTTTCTATCAAAATTTATTGCAAAAAAAAAAAAAACGCTGTGGAGCTATCATGACCTGAGGTGGACTAAGGACATAGGAAGGGCGCCTTTCAATTTTCTTCCATCGACTTGCTATAACGAAGAGGCTGCAAATTGATCGGTCATACACACCGATATCACCGATAGGTCACCGATATCGAAATTCCGAGATATACGTTTTGTATATACTGCTACTCTTATCAATCGTTAAAAAGTTTCAATGCGATCGCTTAGTCGGCTTATTTATGACGAGCATTCAAACTTTTTCTGAGGTGAGGTCACATGACGTGACCTGCCGACCTGGTAACCTGACCTTGAGCAACGTGTGTCTAAAATTTCCGCAACATGTGCGGAAAGCGGAAAAGATGCGTTGACATGTGTGCTAAAAACGGTGACTCTCCAGTCTTCATCCTGACGTTTTTTTTTTAGATATCTGCGAAACGAAAACCACGGGGGGGGGGGGCGAACACCCCCGGCCCGGCGCGCGTTAGGTATTATTTTATTGCATAACCATTTGGAAGCTTATTTGAAAATGCTATTGATTAGCTGGGACATTGTTGAATGCTGATAAAGATAACTGTACTTCCAGCTCCCAACACTTCTCGAATAAACGAAAAGCTGGAAGTACGATTATCTTTATCAGCATTTGGAAGTTTATTTAAGCGTTCTCATTCATCCATTGTGCGGTTATCGTAATTACCGTAATTACATGCCCTCTGCCAATTGTAATGCGTTTTGTCCCACTAAGAACTGAGCTGGAAGATTTTGTCTCGGATTGTATGCGCGGGACAAAGTGGACCAGGCAAAGTGGTCAGCTCCCATTTGGCTATAATTTGTTCCCACTGGGACAACAAACATTGATATTAAAATGCATGGCCATGCGTTTATACTTGCTACTTTTCGGTTACGTGTGCTACCAAAAAATGCAATTCTTTGTTTTTCTACGCATGCTATTACGTTGTTTAATCACAGGTGAATAGATTATATATTAAACCGCGAGTAGGTAGAACAAATCTTTCAAATGTCGAGCCGATAGGCGGGACGTTTATGTAAAATATTTTTCTACCTACGAGCGGTTTAATAATTTTATCCCGTACCGCCGATATGTTTCGGGCGCTTAAACGTAAAAAACACATTTTATATAAAAAATACGACATAATTCAGACTAGACGAAATGTCTACTAGACAATTAACAATTTGTTAATCGTCGAGACGTTTAACAAATCAGTTAAACGCCACCTGAAAATTGTCTCCCCATGCACGTAAAGCAATTGTAAATACTGTCTACGGTGCGGGATAAGACAAGCTAAAGGTTCATCCATGTTTAAACCTCTTTACCATCAAAAATTATATTCACACATGAAGCAACTATCCTGCTTCTCATGTCAGGGCAAAGAAGTCGCCGGTGTCCGTTTTTCCCGTGGTTGGGGCAGGGTGAAAAAATGCGCATGTTTAAAGTTTTGACAACATCTTCTGCATGTGAACTTCTTTAGAATGAAACGAAGTTGAAATGAAAGGCAATTTAATAGCGACCATATTGACAAAGAAACGATCTTTCAAAATTTATGCGTCGGCAAAGAAAAAAGCGTTAGGGCGGCCGATTTGGACAGCTCCCGGTATTTTGTCTCCCTTAACAAAATACATAAGTCAAAAGTTTGTTGTCGGGGCAAAAACAAAACTTTTGTCTATTGCCACCACACCGAGCGGACATTTTAGACAATGATGGGCCAAATCGTAGTCGTGACGCCTTTCGCATTGCATCTGGCTGTTATGCTTTTCCGGTGACTGATGATATGATCTGTGAATTACTCCTAATATCGGCTTCGTCGAAAAGGAATACCTACCACGCAGTGAGCCGAGCCCTGCAATATGTTATACATACATACTAAGCGCAAACTTCCTCTAGTGGGGCACTTTAATCCCTCGCTTTTCAAGTGTCTGGCAAATAGATTAAAATGGCCATGGCATGTTTCACGCAGAAGTCTTCCCATTTGAACTATGACCTAGCCTTAATTTGGTGAAATAAGTCTAGAGCCTAACATCAAAATGAATTATTCCCATGACAAACAGATGAGCTGCTTACATTTGGGATTGTGCTTACTTATTTGAAAGCACACGAATATGCATATGTTGGATCACGCACATCCATGCTGAATCATTCGCGCAACCTTACTGGATCTGGGATCACATGACACACTGTCACGGTTTTGGATCTGGATCACAATGTTGGATCATACACGCACCTGTGTTGGATCATACACGACGCGGCGAGTCTCGGCTGGGCGCTCCACAGGTCGTGCAGTCCGATCAGGTCGGGCTGCTCCCAGCCGTATCCGCCGTACAGACCGTACTCGGTGTTGGTGAGGTCCCACAGCTGGCCGCAGTCGGCCGGATACGCCTGGATCCGGCCGTACACCATCGGCGGACCCATCACCGTCAGGTCCGGTCAGGTCAGGTCAGGTCACACGTGCCGAGTGCCGTCGGTGGTACTGCAGAGTCGACAGAGACAGATCGCTGCTCGCGGACCGCCGGCTCAGCGGAGGCGGGCTCGGAGAGGACTGGGGGTGCTGCGGCTGCGCGTCCGACTCTCCTCCCGGCGCGCTGCGCTCTCCGAGGGCTCTGTTTCGTGCGGAAAGCCGACATTTCCGCCAGATTTAATATCGACTTATTAAATGTTCATCAGAGCCGGCTGTGCCACTTTATTAGCTCCAGGGAGCGGGCGCCATATTGCTCGCCGAGTCGACAGGGGGCGGAGCGGCGCGTTTTGGCAGGGTGTAAAATTGGCGTGGCGAATCCCGTGGCGGAGAGGAAACGCGTCTTCTTTGTTTGGTGGTCATGCGTTTTAGTGTAATGGATATGGTAGTTATTGGGTGGAGGGGAGTATGGTAAACAGGTGGAATTAGACGCCAGCGAAAACTGGATGGCTCGGGAACTGGATGGGGCTGCTGAGGCCGTATTAGTTTTTGGGATGATGCATGAGATCGTTGCAAGACGGCCCCTATATAGGCTTATAGGAGCCTTGCCTTTTCAGTGTAAGTGTGGATGCGCACCTATCCGTTATAAAGCAAACAGTTTCTCAAAATTCATATAAGCACTTACATTTGCGCCGTATAATTATTCAATCGGTTGCCTGAAAGGATTCAGCAACCATGACTCACACATTGGCAACTTAAGTTCGTTTGTCTTGGGCTTTAGGTCGCGTCGGCGGTAAGGTTCGTTGGGAACTTGGTGGAACCATATTTTGTACTCCCTGCACTTTGAAACGCAATGCACATTTTAACTGATGGGTTTTGTGCGTCGAAAGCACGTGTTATTGCGATCTCACAAATAAATCAAACGATGCAGTTATGAGTTATCTTTCTGAGCCCTATCTGGCCCTATCGCTCACCTCGCTCGACGCTCAACTGCGCACCGGCACTTGCACCAGCACAACGACAAAATACCGGCACAACGATGTAGCAAGCCTAAAAAGCAGGGGTGACATGTAGGATGGGAGTACACTAACATCGTAACTGTCGAACCGCATTCGTGAATTTCAGCTGACCGAAAAGGTATGCCTGAAAACGGATTTACTGAACCTCGAACTCACTTTATGGCTGAAGTGATTAAATTAATTTTTATATCCTATTTTTATATCCTAAATGGCTGTGCTCGCTGACTTCATTTCACAAATAGAGCTTACCAACAATATAATCCATCTTTTCCGAGATGTCCGACATTGTAGCTGAATCTGCCGGGGATACAGATGGAGAAACTGATCCCAATGCTGCAACCACTCCGCAGAAATCTGGTGAAAATGCAGCTTCTTCAGAAAATGCAGGTGATACTGCAAAAACCGTGGCTGAAGAAACAGACCCAGCGACAACGGAAGCCGAATCAGAGGAGCCAAAGAAGGAAACCATTGCATCTGGCCAGGAAGGAGATAACCTCGAAACGTTTATTGACGACAAACCAATAGGAAATGATGATCCAAACAAATCAGCGGAAGAGAATCAGCAGACACCCACTGAGAGTGCCGGCGAGCAGGCTGCTCCATCAGTTGAGAACACGGAACCAGCTGAAAACGTACAAACTTCTGAGGAACAGTCGATGGTAGCAGCAGAAGCGGGAGCGACCGAGGCGTCTCCAAACGATGATTCTTCGAAACACGAGCCCGTCCCAAGTAACGATGAAACGAAAGAAGAGATCCCTCCGAACACGGAAGTTGCACTTCAAGAGACCGCAGACGTAAAGCCAGAAGAAGAAAACGACATAAAAAGCGAGCAAAAGCAATCCGTCGCTGACTCTCACTATGTGCAGGACACAGCTAAAGAAAGCATAATAAATGCAGAAGATATAGGAGGTGTCTCGGATGCTCCAATGGAAGATTCTTCGATTCAAGATACCACTGACGTTCCAGATCAAACCGATGAAAAGCTTCAAGAACTGGAAGAACTCGTGAAGAAGGCCTCCGAGGGCTTGAGCCAAAAGAAGTCGAAGACCGAAAACGCGAGTCTGACAAAACGTATCTATGAAGACCAAATCAAAACAGGGAAGCTGAATCGTCTGACGAGCGTGGTAGAAGACGAAGACGGCACCAAACGGCTCGTGAATCCTGGCTCGGTGCCGCATTGGAATACCATCAGCATCAGCTTGGCTGGAAAGGCAAGTAGCTAGAGAACAGCTCGGTAGTTGTTTATTTATTTTAACAGGTCATAGGAATCGTTATAGGATTAGTCAGTATTTAAAAGTTGATTTAATTTGAGTGGAAATCAAGTCGACACTTCTCCAATAAATCTAGGTATTTTGTAGAAGTAGGTATGACGCCAAGCATTCGTAGCCTGAACTTCTGAATTAAGTTATTTAGCTCTTAAACTAGTCAGTAAAGATATGAGGTTCACTGGTGATGCATTAAGGATCCATGTGATCGCAAGGCACCTCGCAGTTGCGATCAAACGTAAGTTGAATCGGAACAGATATTGGAGGGATCCATCACATCGTAGGCTAAGTAGATACGCAAGTTGTATCGCAAATGGTGAAGATACGAACTAACTTTACGAATCTTCTCGGTCGATCGGAAGGCCGATCGTAGCGAAGCTTTACCTCTTTCTCAAGAGAAAAATATAAGAAATTTTCAAAATTTTCACAAAACCGAAATATATGTTAAACAAATATGGTTGATGAACACGTGTGCAAAATTTGAAGTCGATTTCTTCAAAAATGGCTGCGCTAGAGCGTTTTAAATTTACACGTTGAAAACGGTCACTTTCACGTCATTTTTGTAATTATTTTTTTTTCAATTTTGAAGTTTAAAAAGTGTTTTGGGCAATTTTTCGCGTTAATTGCAAAAATCTGACCAAAACATGTATCGCACCATCAATGATCCGATACGACATCAGAGGCCGCGCCGCGGACAGGTGGGCGCGGCGATACCTAGGCCGCGTGGGGGTTACACTGGTGTTCGGGAAGGGCTATGTCAACGCGAGGCAGGCCGCGGGGGAGCCGGTTGCGTCGCCGGTCCGTATTTGTCGGCGCCTAGCAGTGCAGCGGTGCGTTTATGGCGGAGGGAGGGGAAGCGGTGTAGTGTCGGCAACACTGAAAACCAAAACGATTCTCTATTCCCTTTGATCATGGTGTGTCATGCTCCTATAACTCTGCCGTTTTCCTGGCGGAATGCCCTTAAAATACTCAAATGATTCCTCAAATGATTCCTTTTAAGCATATCAGGGGTTTTGGTCTAAAACAACACCCTGATCATTTTCTTCGAACATACCCAAACTATACCCTCATTCTTTAAATTCCTCCCTTGAATTCTTCTAATATACCCTAGTGTACAGTCTCTGCCGCTACTGTCAGATACCGTACCTGTGCCGCTCGGCGCCTCCGGCGGTGACCGGTCGGCGGGCCGGGACTGGCCGGCCGGGCGGGCGAGGAGGACGGGCAGTCGCTCCCTGGACGTGTTGCTGACCACTAACCCGCGCCCCGCTGGGCTATTCAGCCATACGCGCCCTGCTGGGGATAGAACCTTAACCCTCGTTTTGGATGTGTTACGATATATAAAGGGAAATCGGACGAGGGAGCTGAGAGTAATGAGACAGTTTCTGAGCAAGTTCTACGACGAATATACCTAGGGCATTATTATTTTCCCTTCTGGGTTTATGTGGGGTCTAATGCAAGAATACATTGAGATCAGTGATGGAAATCACAGAATAATACGGGAGTGTTACGTGGTATAATGCGAGTATAGTTTGCAAAATATTCCCCTTATACGCTTAGAAGGAATACTAGAGGTTTCGATGTAAGGGTATTTTGGTAGGTTAAAAGGAGTGTACTGTGGGTATCGCAGGGAATAGAACAGGAATCATATTCCTTTCCTCTTCGGTACTTACTAGGGTATATTAGAAGAATTCAAGGGAGCTATTTAAAGAACAAGGGTATAGTTTGGGTATATTCGAAGAAATGATCAGGGTGTTGTTTTAGACCAAAACCCCTAATATGCTCAAAAGGAATCAAAAAGGTTCTCAGTGTAGGGTATATTAGAAGAATTTCAGAGTGATATTCAAAGAAAGTGTATTTGGGGTATATTCGGAGAAATGATCAGGGTGTTGTTTTAGACCAATTCCCCTAATATGCTTAAAAGGAATCAAAACAGCTCTCGGTGAAGGCCGCACACAGGAGAGGGCACACGGGCCTCCCCCCCATTCGAGGTGGGGCCCCTAATCTTTAGACCGCCGAAGACCATGTAAAATGAACTGAAATAATGATTAAAAAGACCGGGAGGGCCCATCTCGTTCCCCAGCAGGCCCATACGAGTCCATAAATGCCCAGTAGCGCAGCCAGGGGTATTGTGGTGAAATTTCAATGGCCCTCAAAAGACCTCAAAGGGCCCACAGATGGGGTCACCGGGTCCTCAGATGGTCTCGAAGGGCCCTCGGTTAGCGTCAAATGGCCCTCATCTGGTGTCAAAGGGCCCTCAGATGGCCAAATGAAGGGCCACAAGATGGCCTCAAAGGGCCCTCAGATGGGTTCAAAGGGCTCTCAGCCAACGTTAAACCTACCTCAGAAGACCTTAAAGGGCGTCAAAGGGCCCTAAACCTGCGTCAGAGGGCCCTGAGCTCGCGTCAAACGACCCTCCGAAGGCCTTAACCCACGAGCCGCTGGGGGGGGGCATAAAGTTGCCCCCCCTTTACGTTTTGTGAAATATCTCCGAAACCTGATGAGCTACGAACGTGAAACTTGGCATAGCTTCAAATGAATACCTAGGCAATGTTTGAGGAAAGTTTGGTGGTTGTAGCACCTAAGATGACGTCACAGTGACGTCATAAAGTTTTGTCGTTTTCCGATATGGACCGTTTCTGATGACGCTGAGCATGAAACTCGACTGTAAATGAACTAGACAGCACCTGCTGTCATCCTAAAACATCTTACGACACTTCCATCTAGTTTCTGACCAATAATCGGCCCTTTATATTCGGTCCCATATATGTGATGCATCGTGAGGAATATGAGAGTCGCAAATCTATAATTTCACTTATGACGTCACTGTGACGTCATTTCAAATGGGATCGACACCAAATTTGGACACAACCTCGGCTAGGTATTCAGAAAGATGTGTGCAAAGTTTCGCTTCTCTATCTCTTCGCGTTGCGACGATATCGTCGCAGAAGTAAAGGGGGGGCAACTTTATGCCCCCCCCCCAGCGGCCGGCGGGTGGCGCGGGGGCCCAGCGGCCGCCGGGTTAAAGAGTCCTTAGCTTGTGTCAGAGGGCCCCCAGCTGGTGTCAGTGAGCCCTCCTCAGCTGGCGCCAAAAGTCCATCTGAAGGCCTCAAACGGTCGTCAGCTGGAGTACAACGGTCCTCAGATGCCGTCACGCGGCCCTCAAAAGCCTCAAGGAGCCCTTATAAGGTCTCAAAGGGCCCTCATTTGGCCTCAAAAGGCCCTCACCTAGCGTTAACCGGACTTCAGAAGGCCTTAAAGGGCCCTTATCTGGTGTCAGAGGGCCCCCAGCTAGTGTCAGAGGCCCCCCCGGCCCTCAGTTGGCGCAAAATGGCCATCAGAAGGCCTCAAACGGTCCGTAACTGGAGTCCAACCGCAACGGTCCTCAGATGCCGTCAAGCGGCCCTCAAAAAGCTTCAAAGGCCGCTTAGAAGGCAGCAAAGGGCCCTCATATGCCCCCCAAGGGTCCTCTGCTGGCGTCAAACGGACCTCAGAAGGTCTCAAAGGGCGTCAAAGGGCCCTGAGCTCGTGTCAAATATAAAAGCGCCCTTAGTTGGTGTCAGGAGGCCCCCAGTTGGTGTCAGCGTGCCCTCAGCTGGTGTCAGAGAGCTCTCAGTTGGCATCTACTGGCCATCAGAAGGCCCCAAACGGTCCTCAGATGGCGTCCAACGGTCCTCAGCTGACGTTAAGAGGCCCTCAAAAAGGCCTCAAAGACCCCTCGGCTGCTGAAGAGGCCCTTAGCCTCAAAGGAAACTCAAGAGACGTTAAACGGCCCTAAAAAGGCTTGAAAGGGCCCTCTGCTGGTGGCAAAGGGCTCGCATATGACATCAATAACAGCTTTGTCAAAAACGGACCTGAGAGACCTTGCCGGTCCCTGGTTATAAGGGACTCCTGTCTCTTGCAGTAACCTGAGTGGCCCACGTTTACTGAGGGGCCCCTGGTTATTGAAGGAGTCCCTGGTTATTGGAAGGACCCCTGGGTATCAGAGGGTTCCCTGGTCACCTGGTGGGTCCCTGATCAATTGAAACCTCCCGATCATCTGAGCGCCCCCTGATTGCCTTGGTCTTGGCGTTGGCGTACAGTTTAAAGTCGTCGGCACACTGCGGCCTCCTCTTTCTCAACAAGTCCCTCTATTTCTTCTGCAGCGAGGGCGATTTCGTCAAAATACTCCTCCATCGCGAAGCCTCGTGCGCAGACGCAGTCTTCGGGGCGCTCGCTGCGCCAACTCTCGACGACAACTGACGGGCTCCAAATGGAACAGATGGACTCCGAAACGAACGCGGGAATGCCGACACATGATCCCTCCAAATTTACAGAGGAGGAGATGTCCCTGACAGCCCCTTTGCAATAGGGGTCACTTTTACACTATAGACGTATGGGGAATTCGACCTTATCGACATGGTACTACGAGGTCAGCTGATCTGCTTGGCATTTAAATCGTAGTAAAACTGGCATTTAAACGCTGCGAAACAACTTACGTACAACGTAGCTCCGATTTGCCCCTCTTTCTTTTTCATCCCTCCGATTTTCTTCCGATCAAGAGAAGTTTCGTACCGAGAGAAGTTTCGCAGCCACGTCCGATATAACTTACGATAGCACGGATCCCCCCAGCCTAAATAAATTTTTAGCTATCAAACCAATTGGAGATATCGGGTGAAGCACACCAAGCGAGTTAGTCTGTCTTTTCAGCGTCCAATGTCCAGCGAGAGGTGCAGAAAGGGAGAGCACAACTGTTTCGAGTCGGCAGCGTCTCGGAGGGAGAGGGTGCTCTCGGCCAACCTCGCCCAGGGCCTCTACCCGGATTTCATGAAACTCAACCCCAAGGTGAGTCAAAGCACCGATGCAAGTAGGGCATTGACATAAGCTTACACATTCAACTGCAGCTGTCTTGCGCTTTACAACGAACTTAAATTTAAACCAGGTTATGCTGCTTATTTCCACGCTAGATCCACGGTGCTCGAGTTCACAGTCGAGTAATTTGCTAGGAGGTAATAGTTTCATATCGTTATCATATCATATCGTATCATAAATGCTGTTCATTTTCACAGCGAATGAAATTTAAGAACTGGACCATCCAAGAGTTAATGATGATGATAAAACCTACGCTGTTTTTTTTTTTAATTCACATCAGTTCCAGCATAGACTTTGTTAACCATAAACTCGCTAATGCTGTCGTTTCAGCTGAACGAGTTCGTCGCCGCCTCGATCCTGGAGAAGCTGCGACTGAAGGGTCTGGCGGCGCCGCTCCACCTCTACAAGGGGCGCTACCTGCCCTCCGACGTCCTAGCCGGTAAATCGATTTTAAGTCCGCCGTATTCTGCTGCAGGCTGTGACGCGACATCGTGGGAGTTTATACAAGACAAACATAAGCGAATTAAAGTGTTACGTTTAAAACCCTGAGGAAACACGAATTTCACCAAGCTTGCGGCATCTGTACATATGTTCACTATGCAGTGCTGGTTGAACAAGAAAGATCTGATTTGGGCTTTCGTTATCGTAACTGCAATACACAGGCAGATAGTCTCATTGCTTCGACATGCCCATGTATCGACTACCCCCCCCCCCCCCCCCCCCTCCCCGCTTTTTGAGTTCCATGGTGAGTTCCATGGGCCTATCTTAGCTCATAGCTCATCAGTATTTCTTTTCTAATTCATCGTGCCAATTCAGCAACTAACATTCCCATCTCCACAGACATGGTGCTGAAGCCGAAGAAGAAGAAGGTAACGGACCGCTACTATTTCGGCTACGTCCCGCCGCCGAACCGGCCGCGAATCAGCGCTGAGTTCCGGCGGTACCTGCAGCAGTTCAGTGAGCGGCACAGGGCGGAGGAGAGTGACATGTGCTACAGCTACGTGAGTAGGATCACAACAGTGAGAGCAAGGCCATACCTATATTAGGAGTGAGAGTAGAGTTGCGTAGACCGATCGGGCTTGTTGGATTTTGTGACGATAAAGTGGGGCTAATGTACGTGCAATGTGAATGCATTTCCTTGCAAGACTACGATTTACCGGATGGCCCAAAATAGCATGTAAAGATATAATCAGCCGTGAGCGCATACATTACACCGGCGACATCACATGCCAGATCATAGGTGTGGAATAAGAATCATCAAATGTTCCCCATATGACCGGCTATGGTTTCAGCAGCATCGAAGGCGCTCACTGTACCTAATCCCTCTCTTTCACAGGCGATGAAGAAGGTGCGCAGACTGGCGGCAGAGAGCGCCGGCCAACACCTGTCGCTTCCTCAGACTCTGGCCGAGGTGGTCAGGGCACAGGAGGAGCCGGGATTCGGGGTGAAGAGACTCCGTCGGCCGCACACCGCCGTCATCTGAGTAGGTGGCAGCACCAGCGCCTAGGCAGAGGGCGCTGCAGGCAACCGGTGGCCACTGCCGAGGATGAGAGCACGGAAGCTGAGAATGTCGAATGCCGACCACTTACACCTCGCTTGTTTTGGTTAATTGACTCATCACAATTGTTTCAAGTTGGTTTTGAGTAGCTACGTG